CAGGGTTCGATTTGGTTTAGTTCCCCGACGGAATGCCAAGTCACAGATGGGATCACTGGAAATTTGAAATCCTGACAAAGTCTCTGTTTTTACAGCTTCTGGCTCTAATAATTGGTGTTATTTCAGTGATTTTTTTTTTTTTAAATCACATGTTTTAGATTTCAGAGGGTTGATACAGCTTTACCACATGAATCACTATGTTCAGTCTTATGTACTGCAACGTTAATCTTGTCATATGTCCATATCATTTAGTGAAGAGATATGTGTCCATCTCGCCCTCCTGCTTCCACTATCAGTACCTCCCTAAGGCAGTTTTACTCTCCGCTATTGTTCCTCTCATCCTCTCTCATCCTTCTCTTTGTGTCCCAGCTCTGGTTCGCCTTTGTGAACGGGTTCTCCGGCCAGATCCTTTTTGAGCGCTGGTGTATAGGCCTCTACAACGTGGTGAGTATCCGTCCTCGGTCACTCTTTTAGATTTCTCCACTCGCTCCCTCAGTCTCGCCCCCACTCCCACTTTCCCTTATATTTATTGACGGCTCTCACTCTATCTCTTAATCACCTGCTTTGTCTTCTTATCACTGCTCTTTCTTGCATGCCAGAGATGTTTGCATGTGTGCGCGTATGAGAGCGTATGTGTTCTGACTGCAGACGTCTGGCTGCAGATGCCTTCAGGCTCCCCTTTTCTTTTTCTTTTTTTTTTTTTTTTTAAACATCATCCTTTCATAGTTAACACTGATTGTCCAGCTACTTGAAGTGCATGTGTGCGTCCACGCTGCCTCTGTCATCCTGTGATTTAATGACTATGTATATCTTCTCTGTGCTGCAGATATTTACTGCACTGCCTCCGTTCACTCTGGGGATTTTCGACCGGCCGTGCAGCCAGCAGAACATGCTCCGCTTCCCACAGCTGTACCGAATAACCCAGAACGCTGAGGGCTTCAACACCAAGGTACGCTCACAAATCTGAAATCAAAGCGAAATCTGTCTTTCTTTTTTTCTTTTTTAAAAAAATCATACTTTGCATTCAACTTGTGGATCTTTGCGATGTGATGAGTGATTCCAGCTGTTTGTTTGGGACCCAAGCGAGTAAACAAGGGTGGCATGGACTCTGGGGTGTTTCCATGGCGACCTGTAATGAGATTCATAGCTCCAGAATAAGGAAGTCTTTCATTTTCGAGGGTACAGCAGCAACTCAAGCTACTGTACGTGTGTGTGTGTGTGTGTGTGTGTGCATATAGTACAGGAGGGTACTTCTGATGGCACGAACACAGTGGAAGTTGTGTTACTGTGAGGAATTGCTGTTTTTGTATGTTTTTATGTGTGTGGGAGAGTGGGGGCATATATGTGCTTTGGCATTAGCTTGCACTGACTTGTTTTCCACTATTTTCTCCCCCTTTTTTTCTCTCTGTCTGTCTCCTGTTCCATCTTCCAGGTGTTCTGGGGACACTGTATCAATGCACTGATTCATTCAATTATTCTCTTTTGGTTTCCGCTCAAAATGTTAGAGCACGGTGAGTGACTTGCGCGAGCAATTCTTTTATGATCCATTGTCCTGTTTGTTGACACTTTGTCATGATTTGTGTGCACGTTCTTCACAGATTCTCCCTTCAGAAACGGTCAAGGAAACGACTACCTGTTTGTGGGAAACATGGTCTACACAGTAAGTATGCCGCATGCAATTTCTGCGTGCGTATTTCCTTTTTATTTCTGTCGTTTGGCATGCAGATTTGTGCATTTTTTTGGCATCTGCACACTATTTGTGTACACTCCAGCCCCGCGCTGCTTCCTCAGAGCCCTTATGAGTCTCCAGTCAATCTCGTCCTGTCTAGCCACTCTGTCTCCTCTCCACATTCATCCATCCATTCTCTCTACTCTCCATCTCACACTCTCGCTATCATTTTACTCCCTACAGTGTCTTGAGAATGTCAGTTGTGTTTATTTGTTGTGTTGTGTGTGCGTGTGCGTAGACTACAAGTGGGGCATGTGGGGGTCCAGAGTATTTTACCAGACATTGCTGAGTTTACGATATAACATTAATGTTTATTATCTCCACAGTCGCCAGTGAACTAATCCGGTTTCTCTGTTTTTTCTTTTTTTTTTTTTTGTTGTATTTTTTAATTTGCTTACCCGCTCCTCTATGTGTGTGTGTGTGCAGTACGTGGTAGTTACAGTGTGTCTGAAGGCTGGAATGGAGACCACCGCTTGGACCCGGGTAGGAACATTAACATACTCTCAATGCACCACACCACATGTGCTGTATTTTACTCGACCGTTGATAAATAAAGAGGAGGTGGTGTGGGTGGGGGGGCGCTGCTCTGTGAGGACTTTCAGTGTGAGGTTTTTCATATTACCTGCTCTAAATGCTTCATAGTCAGGAAAGGCATGGGAAAAGATGTGGTGTACCTTGATCTTGTGGTGGAGGTTTGAGGTTTCTCAAACTGCAGTTGCTTGCACCTTTTTCTTCCAAACAGTTCACGTGTAGTTGCATTTTTTTTTTCTTAACCCGTTGCTCCCGTAAGACATTTCAAACATACATTTGCAAAAAAAAGAAAAGAAAGAAAGTCAGTCCAATTCATTTAAAGCAAACTGCTAAATATAGCTTTAGGAAATAAATTTGCAATCAATGAAAGGAGCTGCTCAGACAAAGTGTAAAAAGGGGAAAAACAGACCAGAGAACAGTGAGATGAGCATCTGCTGAAAGAGCGCTAAATACTGAATCTCAGGAGCGAAACAAATTTGATTTAATGTAGTTTTCCTAGAGACAAGATGTCCTCATTCTTTTCAAAGAATGTTCCTTTTCAAGTCATGAGATGGTAAAACGATACAGAAGAGCCGCAAGAATTAATCGATTAGATGATCGACAGAAAATAAATCCGCAACTGATTTAATAATCACTTCATCATTTTTGTCATTTTTCAGCTACAGTTACTCAATATTCTGTTTTCTGTTTTTCAAATGTAATCGATTTAATGCTATTGTTTGTCATATATTACAACTGAACAGTTTCAACCAAGCAAGCTAATTGAAGACGTCACTGGGGGCTTGGATAAATCATAAATGGCATTTTTCGTACTATTTTTTTTTAGAGACAAAACGTTTAATTACTACATTGTTAGTCACAGTCCATTTTATGTAAGGTGTAGTTATTAATTAATGCCATTTTATTTAATTCAGTTTTATTTAATTTGAGTGGATCAAAGCTTTTAGCGGTTGTTGATCCACCAGACAGTGTATACCATGTGGTTCAAGTTATATAAGTCCAGTCTGGGTATTTAACAGCAACACCATGTATAATCTATTGATACACATTTGAGGCCCGTCCTATTTTCTATGGGCAGTTATCCCGTTTACAAATAATCAAGCATGCAGCCACCATAATTTCCTGAAAGCTTATACCCTACTGACACGTGGCATCTTTCGAAAAGTAATTACCCACAACGCAACGATTTGTCAGCTGGAAGTAGATGGAATCCTAAGGAAAAGCGGCTGTGACGCTAAAGGCCAATTCCTGCTTTCTGTATGTCTGCAAGGTTGAACTATGTAAATGTTATGGGGGTTTGTGCAGACCCCTCTGCAACCATGTGGACTGTCTGCACTGCAAGCACACCAACTGCCCATGCATCAGGAAAACAAATGGTGCTCCAAACAAATGCTTGTTATGGGAAGATTTGAGGTGTTTTTCTCCATCGTCCACACCTTTGTAGTTAATCATTATAAGGGTTATATTTGGAGTAGTCGCTGCAGGAGCTTTGATTTCAATATGCGTTCCTTCGACGGAGCTGAAACACCGTCGGGGGTCCTAACTTCTCCAGAAGTCCTGTGCTATGTCCGCCCATCGTATCTAACCGGTATATCCGGTACAAAAGTGCCACGTCAAAACCAGCTTTTCAGTAACATCCACAGCCGTCCCGTGTGTTTCTCTGTGTTTGAAAAAGTGACTATCAGACTGTCGCGTGCCAATTGTAGTATGAAAAGAACCACGTGTGCGTCCGCCACCTTCAAAGTCAATATCGGTCATGTGGAAATCATGAATTGGCCTCAACCCAGACTACACAAAATTACCTCTTCTAATTAGTGAGAAATTGCCTGTGCTGTTTCCTCAGACCATCAACACGCCGCACGGTTGAAGCACTGGTCCCCCCCCTCGCTTTAGTAATGTTAGCATGCATGAAAATCTTCCTGTTTAGTGTCAAAACAAACCAGATACAACATATAAAACAAAAGTAATACGATAGTGCAATAACTCATTGTATTAGATGATTGCAGTGTACGTAGGCAAAACTTGTGTAGGAACTTTTGCCGTAGAAAAAACACTGTAAAAACAAAACGATTGTTTAAACACGGAAAAATCTGAACAAAGAATAAATAAACAAATCTAAGCGTGCGATTAAGCATGTGGTTTCAACTTTTAGTCCTGAAATAACACCAGCAGAAGTGGATGGAGAGTTTAGGGCAACAGAAGCTCAAGCGGTGACGTTATTTGGTTTGTTCCTACTGGTGGAGAGAAGCGAGAGAGAGAGAGAGTTAGACTGGCAGGATGGACAGAAAGGCTCTGACACCTTTGTCCGTTCAGCTGTCCACACAACAGCCTGGCAGTAATGAAGCAGGGTCCCACTGGAATTCACACAGTGTCCGCTTACAGCAGATCACAGAGAGCGGGACGAAGACAGGGGAAGGAGGGAGGGAAAGGTTGTCTATATTCGGATGAGCTGTATGTAAACTATTTGACCTCATGCTGTCTCTCTTTTCTGCCTCTTAATCTTCATCCTCTCTCAACCTCCCTCTCCCTCCTTTTTTTTTTCTTCACCCTCCTCTTTCTTTGTCTCTAGTTTTCCCACCTGGCAGTATGGGGAAGCATGGTGCTCTGGATGCTCTTCTTTGCCGTCTACTCCGCCATCTGGCCCACCATTCCCATTGCCCCCGACATGCTGGGCCAGGCAAGTCGCTCTCTGTAAACATGTGTCATCCATTTCAATAACAGGGGTTGATGGGGGGTTAAAATAGCTTCTTCCTCCTCCATCTCCCTTCTGCAACATCACCTGCCCCCTCCCTTCTTCTTGGTTTGCAAATACATGGCGCCTATAAGACTCACCTCTTGGGTGTTCCACGTCGGCGCTGCTGGAACCCCCCCCTCGGGGGGAGATTTATGCCCCCGCAGCCCCTCTCACCAGGCTTCCCGCACCTGCTGCGTGTCACCCGAGCCCCGGTCTTTTACTGCCCTCTGCGGAGGTGTTGACTCAAGAGGGTGGGCTGCTACTGCTGCTTGCTGGTGATGGGAGTCCAGTGGGGGTGAGGAGAGTATATGTGGGACCCCCTTAATTGAGAGACTCATTTTAGAGTTGGGGGGATGAAGGCAGGGGTGATATGAGGTGCCCCACTGAGCGGGTAGGGGAAGGGAATAGGCCCGTCTCAACTCCCCTCAGCCCATTAATTCAATTTGTGTCAGAAATCAGGAATGCGGTCAAATATCTCTGCAGCTGCTCAGTCTAACTGGGGAATGGTCAGAGACAGTCACCCCTCCCAAAACCCTCCATCGTCCCTCCTAACTACCCTATTACCTCTCTTATTTCCTCAGCTCCAACTATCTGTATTTCCATCTGTTCACGGGGGAACACGGATGGAAAAGAGCTGTGTATTTCTGCTCAGAACAACTGCATGTGTGAAATTAGGCGCCCTGTGTGTTGTCTGCAAAAGTGACGGAGACCAGCGGTCTGTTTCTATAACTGTAAGAAAACTGAGAAAATCGTTGTCACGCTGCGATCCTCACAGTGCATAAAGACCATGTGATATACTGTGTGTCCGGCGCTGTAAAAAATGTGTCTCCGTGTGTAGGTGTTTGTCACAGGCAGAGACATTAAGTATGTGTGAGTCCAGTTGGTTGTGATTCCAGCTGCTCCAGAGGATATTTTGCAGAGGTTGTCTGATTCATTTTCCCTGCGACCTCTTCCTCTGGGAACCAGATTGTCTCTGTGTCTGCAGATACAAACACGGGACACAGGAAACACATTAGATGGGCAATAAAATAGAACAAGTTAAGGACGTCATGGTGCATAAAGAGTTTGCGACCGCTGGCTTAACTGTTAATGCCTAGAGACAAAGGCTTGTGAAACACTGCAGAGCTCTTGCAGATAAGCGAAGAGGAGATGTTGGGTAATAATGAGAAAATGGAAGGATTTGCAGTAACAGGCGAGGACAAGCAACAGAAGATACAGTCACTTACGATGAAAGAAAGTTGTGAAAGAGTGAGATTGGTGGGAGAAAAGACATGTGTGGGAGGAAGAAGCAAGCAGACAGACAGACTGACAAATTGAGACAGTGGTTGGATGCATGATTAATCCCGGGAGACAGGGCGAGAAAGGGGTCAGAGATCAACGAGCCTGGCTGCAGCTGGACTGCACAGACAGGTAGCGGAGGGGGGATCTGCGGTTGCTCACTTGCATTTTTATCACTCAGCATCATAGAAGGTTTGTGTGACAGCTATGGGAACACTGCGCTCGAACCGGTTTGTGGTGCCGGCACGAGCTGTGAGAAAGCTCTTAAATATGTTTGACTAACATTAGGAGGGTTCAACTTTGGCTCGCCGTCTCCCTTTATGCTCTGTGTGGCTTTCACTGTGCTTTGACTCACATTTATCTCAGCCTTTACCACATGTGGCTCTGCGTCCCCGTTGCTGAGAAAAATGACTTAATCCTCCATTTGAATTAATATACGAGCGAAAATAAATGGGGCCTGTGTGTTGTCATTGCAGGCTGGCAGGGTGATGCAGTGCTGGCACTTCTGGCTGGGCCTGGTCCTGGTGCCTACTGCGTGTTTACTCAAAGACTTTGCTTGGACAGCGTAAGTAGAACGCACTTCATATAAATACATGGGAAATCCATACAGAGACTATTTGACTTAACAGAAGCGTTTACATAACCCATATTGAGTCTGTGTCAACACTTACGCACACTTTATGTTATGAATTACATGTGTCTGCTGAGTACAACACTCAGACTTTCCTTCACGGGTCTGATGAGCTTGTTTCTGCTCTGCAGCACACGTCGCACTGTGAGGAAGTCTCTGCTGGAGGAGGTGCAGGAGTTGGAGGCGCGAGCCGTCGATCCCGGGGCTGCAGTACTTCGAGACGCCAGCGGCCGCAGGTACGTGATCGCTGCAAAGCATCATGGGATCTCACCAGCATTCATACCCACATTTATTTTTATCATCAAATCAGCTTATCCTCTTGATTTTTGGACATTTGTTTTACTTTCTGTTCACCAAACGTCTCCTAATAGGCAAAACATATACAGATGATTCAAAGTATGTCCAATGAATGTTACAGCAGTTTTCCTGCAGTTTTTTTTTATGCTACTTGTGTTATATTTCTTTATGTGTGAAAATAACCTCTGTCTCCCCTGTGGCACCGTCCACAGGGCCGAGGCCAAGGCTGAGGTCCCGTAGAGCCACAAGTGCTCACAGAGGTAGTTTCTGGGTTTGCACTGTCCCACTGTGTGAACTGTGACCTCAAATGACCTGTGTGCTTCACTGCAAGCTGTCTTGGAGTGACTCTTGCTTGTTTTTCATAAACTGACTTCACATTTCTCCCCATTTACCTCTTAATTCCATCTTAAATATTATTTTCACATTTTTTCATTCCTCTTGTCGTTACATTTTTACCATTCTTCCTGATTTCTTCATAGGTGGATGAATTTGAACTGCTGTACAGATCTGGTGTGTTTACTGTTAGTCTGTAGCTCCTGTGATTTAGCTGTGTGTGTGGTGTTATTAGAGCCTAGAACTAAATTATACAGTCTACACTGTATTTAGGATTGTAGAGGTTTGCTCATTTGCTGCACTGGTGGAAAGTAATTTAGCACGAGTACTGCACTTGTAAAATTAAGACCAATCAAGTATTTTACATTTAATGCTGCTTTTATACTGCTTTATTTTTCTACTCCAAAACATTTCGCAAAAATGATTGTACTTTATACACCACTACATTTATCTGATCTAGCAGGACAAGTATAGAGACGAGTCCATCGTCTCTGTTTCTAAATCCTGACTGAAACTCTTCAAACAAACCATTCCTGTACATATGGTCACCTAATTTTGCAGCAGGGTTTTCGAGGATTTTAAAGATAAACGGGAGGGTTTTCGCTCTTTGTTCTGTGTAAACACAGCCTGCAGTTCAGCCGAAAAGTCCCTGAATTTTTGTCCCGTTACTGTTTGTTGCATTTGAGTCACTAATCGCTTCCACAGAGGAGTGCAGATTTTTAATGTTTTTTACAGACTCTGGTTTGGGCGAACGCTTTATTTTTGCAGACATTATTTTAAACATGAGACATGTAGAATAAAATGACTTTGATTAAATATTTTAAACCATAACTTTAATCTTTGATTTGGATATGTTTTCTAACAGCATGTCACAGATGAATACTTCAAGGACCATTAGAAAGTTGATGATCCAACAATTCTTGTTGTTTTTGCAGTTTCTGGCTCTGATAAATGGTGCAATCTTGGCAATTTTTTTTTAAAAAAACAACATGCCTTTCAAACCCACTGGAAAGTTTTTGAGGTTCTATTTAAAATAAATACATTGATCAAACCTAACATGGAGTTGCTAATTGAGGGTAAAACATTCTTCTAGCTGAGATCTGAAGACATGTTCCTGGTTTAGATGTTACAGGTTACTTTACAGGTTCAGAAGCACAAAAATGTAATCAACAAATAAAATATAGAAATAAATGAACAAGCCAACAGCATATAAAGTTGTTAAAATTAGCCTTAGCCTCATCCTTAAATTGATCTTACATGTTAAACCATCTGTTATAAGTAGACATAATGAGTGCTTAAGTGAAGGGCGTGAGTACGAGTATTACAATGATTTGTATAATCCACTGATATTATGAGTTAAAAAAAAGGAAAACAAAGTCAGATGTGAGTGAGTCACCCCAACAAGCTGATTCCTTAGAGCAGTGTTGGTTCTCAAAAGGAACTGAAGACGTGTGAGGTATGTTTTCAGGTTGGGGAGGGATGAGTGGGTAACTGCTCCTCCTGACCCGTCCTAGACTGACCCTGCTTTTAAAAGCAGGGCCAGATCCTCGAGTTCTCTCCACTTAGATTCAGAGAAGTAAGGGTGGGCAGAGAAGCAATGGAGCAAAATGGAAAAGAGCACATCTGTGTTTGTAGTTCCTGTGGAGGTCTCGGGGGTAGGCATGGGAAAGGGTGGAAACGTAGAGTGCAGGAGTGTCTCGAGGGAAGAGTTCAAACGGAGCACATCCTTGGGCCTTTTTGAATCAGCAGGTATCCACAGAGAAACACCATGGTAGCAGTAGGGACGACTTGAGTCGCACTGAGGCATGAGCCTTTTATTTATTTGTCCACCCACCGTTTAAGTCTTTTATCATTCACTCAGCACTGTCATCTATCTAACAGACCTTACTTTTGGGCCAAAGACTCCTTCAACAAACTTCAGAGCTCCTCTTTTTTCTTTTCTTTTTTTCCACAAACGCTCCAGTTAAGATTCCCAACAGTCGTATACAGTTATAAGAATTTCCTAACTGCTTATTCCAAATTTTAGCCTTGGGAAGGCTGGCTCTGGTCCATAACTACCCCACTGATCCTCATCACCGCTGCGTACAGTGAGGGCCAGGGAAAGCCCTTGTGTTTGAAATAACGCTACATTGGCTGATAGTCGTACCAAATGTATTCTTTCAAATGAAACTGCCAAATGTTGACTTCCTGGCGTGGCAGCCGGTATAGCTGCAGTGATGGTGATGAGAAAAGAGAGAAATACATGAATGCAATAAGTGTGAGTGCATGCGTGCATTTGTGTGCAATATCTGGAAAGGGCTTAGTTATTTTTGGTCACTGGAGGAGAGGAGCCGTGACGGCGTGTGGTCTCAGAACAGAGGATCCAGTCTTCTTCTTGGAAAGGGGGGAGTTAAGAGGAGAGGAGAGAGGAGCGGGGAGTGGCCGGGGGTGAGGAATAGTTTACTGTGGATGTCCTGTTACCCTGCAGGCAGTTTATGGCTTACTGTTGGGTTAAATTGAATGTCAGGAGCACTCAATATCAAAGCCACCTCCTACCTACTTTCTGGTCTTAAGTCCACTTAGATTTTGTTGACTTATTGATCAGTGTGTTTCTGTGCTGACCCCTGAAGGAGAGTTGTACTTTTATGCCTGGCATACTGCAGTGTTGTGCTCTGGGACAGTAGTGCATTTACACATTAAAAAAAAAAAGTCACGGATGCAAAACGATGTCAAACCGCCACCAGTCGTAACTGAAAACTTAGCAGCAAAGGCCACGGAGAGATCCCTACTCTAATTAAGAAGTATTTCACAGTAGCTAGCAGTGGTGTTGTGTGAGTGGTAGAGATTCTCTCTTTTGACCTTTTCGGTTGTGTGCGGAGACTGTGGAGTAACTGTTCTCTCTTGCTTTTCTTTGCAGTCTAAACGAACGAGCCCATCTGCTGACAAGAGTCTTTAGGAAAACACCTTCGAGCGTAGGACGCTCAAACTCGGTGCAGCAGACGGTGTCACGTGAGTGTCCTTTCCACAGACAGATACTGTGTCTATATCCATGTCTTGCCTCAAAATAGGCCTTAAAACTGACTTTGCATGCTCTGGTTTAGTGGCCCAATCCCAATCGCCACCCTCAGACTCAGACTTTGAGGCATGTTCCCTCTAAGTGCATAAAGGCTCTGATGCAGACCATTGTGTGCCCTTTCTTCAAGTGTGCTTTTGTGCAGACTTTCCCAAGAGACTTGTCCATAGGTCATAGTGAAATTTGTGATATATAAACGTGGTTGTCATCAAAAAATGTACACAAACCCACCATGTAGGGAACAAAGCCACCAGGAAGTTTATGTACAAGTAACAGCATCTGGCTGCTCTCTGTTGTGGTTGTTTATTGCATGTTTGTAGAGTTTTTTGTATGTCCAGTCGAACGCCTGCATAGGGTTCACATAGGTTCATTATTTTCATTGTTTTTGGTAGTTTTCTAAAATCTAGAAACACTGTTATGTCACAAATGGGGAGCGATCAACCAAGCAGCTAATCAGAAGGAAACACGATTCCAAATTAACCTCTTTTTAATGCAAATGAATTGTTTCCAAACCAAGTGCTGTCATAGTAGTGTTTCCCATTTCCTCCTGTGTGGATTCAGTCTTCACAAACTCATGCACTCTAACACTGCAGCTGTAATGTTAGTGGGTGTAGTGCTGAAGCTTTGAGGTGGAGATTTAGGTTTGGGCCAATGTGTAAATCTTGTTCAATAGTTTAAATGAGTGGAAAATCAATAATTTCAGTGTTTCCCTGTGTTTATTCCTCCATTCACTCTCATTACATGAAATGAGGAGCTGTGAAAACCCACATCTAGCTCAATAATCAACGTGTGTTTTGACAACATAATTTGGATGAGGAAGAATAAGTCATACCAGTATTTACGTAATCGGCTCCAGTGGGCCAATACTCATGTTCACTGGATGCTAGCAAGATAAAGGATGTTTCTTTTAATAATAAATCTGCTGCACAGAGGAGATGGCAGACATGGCATTTAGTGTATTTCATGCAGATGTCAGCATCGACAAATGTCAATGCCCAATGATATCGAGATGAAAACATTACACCCGGAGTTGTCACGTTCATTTGCCACCATTACCTGATGTTTTAACAAGACAACATGCATCCTAATGTCTGCAGAATATACACTGCCCCTCTGTAGCAGCTGAAAATGTTGCAGCCTCTTCGGACATGTAACCCATTGAACATCTGAGAGATCTGGATAGACGTCTTCAAAACTGCGATCCTGTCCCCCTAAAACAGCTCTTCGGGAAGATTACAAAATTCTACAAGCAAACATCAGTAACCTTATTAAATCTATACATCTATGACTCTACTCTTCATCCAGCCCTTTATCATTTCCTGTATAGTTCATACTTAGTTTTTCATGACTGGGTATTGAAACAACACTCATTCCACTTTGTTAAAAAGAATAAAAGGGATTAGATAAAATATTAACACTGTATTTATTTTTGATGTTTCATCCACAGCACACCAGTTGAACCTCTGACATTCATCCTCTATTGTCTCCCCTGCAGATGGCTATGCCTTCTCTCAGGAGGAGCACGGTGTGGTGTCCCAGTCCCAGGTAGTGCGCTCCTACGACACCACCCGCCAGCGTCCCAGCCTCTAGCCCCACCCCTGATCAAGGCGTTGGCTCACCGTAGCAATGGTTGTCCAGGTGACAGCGGAGACAGACTTAAGCGACACCCTCACGCTGGGTGACCGACCCCTGCTGTGGCCTTACTGGAACTATGACCGGACCCCTCGCCGGGGGCGGGGGGTCGCGGTCAGGCGTGGTGGCCGTCGCCAGCGCGTGGAGGACTGACTTGGGAGAAGGGACCAGGCCAAATATACAGAACAAACATTGTTGAAACTCACAAAAAGCTGCACAGGCATGAGCAATCACATCCACGCACAGACATGACAAGTCAAACTCAGAGACTGCTCCTCATATCTGTATACCCGTCAGACTGGGTTTGATTCATGCCGCTGTGTGTCGACGTGTGTGTGTGCGCGCCCGTGTGTGCGTGTGTGCGTGCGTTCCCGTGCGTCTGTATCTGCCTGTGCATGTATGTCTGCACGCATTGGCGCTCCTGTGTTCGTGTGCATGTGTGTGTCGGTCCATGTGCGTTCGCTTCCCTCTCATCTCCCGCCCAAGAGGTGGCTCGTCTGTCAACACATGCCGACGCGGAAAGAGACGTCATAATAAACGCACACACTCACACACGTACAGATGAATTCCTTTTTAAAGGGATGGAGGGAAGCCTGCCGGAGCCCTGCACCCCAGCTACAGGCCGCAACCCACCCTCATTCCATCGCAGCACCAAGCCTCACTGCCAAACACAGCAGAGATGCCACTGAGGCAGAACCCCAAACTGGACCACCACCCTGCTGCAACCCCTCCTGCCCCACTGGGACCTCTTGTTGCTTATCTGCCTCCTTCATTTCTTCCCTCCTTATCTCCTCCATCTCATAGCCGCTCTGCAGCCTCCATGTCTCTCCTCCTTTACAAAAAAATCCACTTTATTTTTCCTGTTTTTTTTGTTTTTTTTTTAAATTCTGACCGCTCCTGTGATCCCCGATGCCGCCTGTCTAGCATCGCCAGCTGATGTAGAAGCAGCATGCCTGGCATTAGCGCTTCCTCCTTCTTTTCTGTTGGAATTCCACTCTTTACTGGACTGTTTCTCCTTTTTTTTTTTTTAAAGTGGACATTAATGTGAATTTGTTTATAATTTTTTTTTTCTTTTCATTAATGCCTGTTTTTGTACTCATATGTGAAGACATGTCTTAGAGGGAATATTTTACTTGAACTAGTCCTAATAGGCATCCAAAAAGAAGGGATTTGATTGAAAAACTCGGGTAAATCATGTGTTTTTTCTGGCTCGGGGATTTGTCTGAATGTAGAGTCCATTGTCTGTGTGCTCCGCGTGGAGGACTCTCTGGGTCAGGAATGCAAGACTGAAAGGTTGGGAGATGGGGGGGTTCCATCTGAGTCCTAATCATTAAATCTAATCAATCCATGGCCTGACCAAATGTCTTTGTGTTTTGACTGTAAGCTGTGTATTCATGCAATCAAGTGGGGTGTTTTGAGTCCAACTGTTGCTCCAGGCAAGCCAGAGCAGCTTGGTTTACGTTTCGCGCTGAAAATAGAAAAGAAAAAATATATAGAAAAGGATGATTTGTACATGAGACGCATATGATTTCATATATTAACAGGATCAAACCTCTCCCACGCTCCCTTTCTAAGCTCAGGAGAGTCAGTGTAGACGGACCATTAGTAGATCAATTCACCCCCCGTCCCCTGACTGGAGATCCCTTTCCCACCCACCTTCCTGGATGTGGCCCAGCCCAAACCAACTACAGCTGCTGCTTCCAATATGGAGAATCCATCGGGCCGCCGGCCGAGCAGGAGCCAGAGAGCCATTTATGCTTTTCAACTCCTCCCCAGTGACTCTCCAATGGCCCGCTCCGCTTTCCACATTACTGTAGCTGAGTTTCTGAAGGAGCCTGCCAAAACTCTACACCTCCACACCATCATAGTTTCAAACTGTCCATTGTTGCGGTTTATTATTTCTCCTCTCTGTGTGTCGGCTGATGTGACAGGTATTCGTTCTGTCCTCTGTGGGAGGTAGAACTGTCTGTGAATGTGTGTAATGCCTCTAATAGCTTAAGTATGTGTGTCTTTGTGCGAGTGTTTTAAGGGGATTAAGACATCCCATTCGCCACACAGATTTGCTTTTTGTTAACAAAGCCATGTCTCCAAATGTGTGTGTTTAAGTACCGCTCGTATCTTCATGGTTTTTAAAGCACAAAACATTGCCTGTTGTGTTCTTCTGTCAGTACAAACTGATGAAATAGTGAAACGCGAGCTCTTGACACGCTGCTTTCTTTTTTCAAAATCTTTATTTTTTTTTCAAATTCATATGAAAAATGATTCTCCTGCATCAAATCTCTTTGTTTCAGACGGAGCAGACACATTCGGTTTAAGTGAAGCCACTGTTTTACAGATGGTTTTGCTTTGTCTCACACAAGCTGCCCGCTGTATCTTACAGACATTATGCGTGGAGAACAGAAGAGGTGCACAGACATACTGGTTTCAGTACTCAGGGACATCTCAGGCTGCACGCTCAGTGGAGCAGCACATTCCGCAAGTTGCATGTTTCTCAGTTACCGGTGACCCAGCTGTGCAACAGCACACAGAATGGCTTAAAATCCAACAACTTTCACTTATTTTTTCAGATTAACATCCAATAACTGCCACTTCTGTGTCTTTCTTGAGTGGAAAATAATGAGTCAGAGGTGCCCTGGAGCTGCCTGTGCTAATGCACTCAACTGTGGTAGTGTTAAATACACACACACCTCTCACAGGAGAGAAGTGAAGGGGGCAGCTGGCAGAGTTTTTGCTGTATAATTAACTCTGTAATCTTCAGAGGACTGCCTCTCACTCCTCTGTCACACACTCACACTTCCAAGGAACATTAACTGCCAGCCTCGTGTGAATATTGTCATTTTTGGGGTCTGTGAGTGTGTTTCCGCTCAGGGCAGTTGGGGTTTTTGTGTTTTTTCTTTCTGGGTGGCAGGAGGGGGGTTGTATAGTAGGGTGGAGCGTCACAGTCCGTGTCCTGTGTTCACTTCATTACAGTTTAAATGGCCTACGGGGAGATTGCGACTGCCTTTCACATCACGCCACCTGCATTTCCCATTACACAAAGTTCACTCACAGTTACTCATAAGACCACATCCCTCCACACTTCACACTCTCTCCCAAACTCACACACACATACAGTACAAACATCTATCCACATGCTTTCTTTCCTCATATTTTCAACACAAACAAAAATATACTGTATTGTAGAAACCACTCACAGTCATTCACAAGCACAGATGTGCACATGGCATAAACACAGCATGTGGTCATATTTTTTTTGCTTGAATATCCATTTGTCATACAGTCCCCTGCTATAAATCATCCAGTCATCACTCATTCCCGCACATATAGGCCAACAAATCTTTTTTCTCGATCACACACACATCCATGCAAACACAAACACATGCAGCCTTTATTTGAGCTGCAGGCTGCAATGAACCGTGCATTATTACCCATCTGGGCTATATAACCTTCCAAGATGCAGTTTTGTCTTTACATCAAGACAGAGAAATGTTTACGCATCCATTTTACCCCATCTAAGGCTGAGCTTAGCTCATTCCGACTTGCCAAGAGATCATGTGAAACACTAAACAGACACACATCACACACTATAGCAGAGCAGGCCCTGCTACCAGCAACAGCTTCATGAGTCCTTCACATGAGTCTGATTCGCTGCCTTTTTGATTTCCCACTCTGGCGTAAAGATTTCTGCCGCAGCTCTCACAGGTTAAACTTCACAAGTCAGTCTTTGCAACAAAGTGGTTGAGTGGTCTGCAGGTTGGCCCCTCATCACACTGTCACTGGAGGGTATTTCTGGTCACTGGTGACACTGGACCCTACGGTGGGAGGAGGGCAGGGGGACTGGAGGGGTCTATAGCCTCCCTGAGTGGGGTCCAAGAAGGTTGGGGTAGGGGACACGGGGTGGGCGTAGCCGATGTACTGCGGGTGCAGGAACTGTCCCTGGTGAGGCATGATCTGGGTGGCCTGCTGGCAGTTGAGAACTGAGAAGTTGGTGGGCATGTTGACGAAGACGCTGGCGTCGGGCGGCAGGCAGCAGGAGGCCTGCGCCCGCATGAGGGGAGGCGGTGCTGGGCGGGGGGCGGCGGGCGGAGCAGAGGAGCTGGACGAGGTGGCTGTGCTGGACTGCCGGGATGAGGAACCTCTGGAGGTGTTTGCCATCATGGGGATGGTCTCCAAGAGGCGGCCGCCACTGCTCCCACCTCCTGTGGCACCTGATGATGACAGCTCCTGCTTGGGCCGGAGGCAGCGGCAGCAACACACGGCAACCACAGAACCCACCAGAATGAAAGCTACAAACACTGAGCCCACGATCAGGAACGGCACATAGATGGGCACTACAGAGATGAAAGAAGAAGAAGAAGACACATCAGAATTAAAAGACAATTAAAAGGCCTATTTTAGCAGCAGAATATTGAGTTAAACATGTAACGTCATGCTCACGTGTACCCCTCTGCACAGGAGCTCCTAGATGTGAGTGCAGATTGATTAAGACAATGAAACAAAAGACTGAACAAGAGGAGTGTTTGGAGTTGAGTAGGAGAATGGAAGGTACACTGGGTTTGGGTCCCTGGGGAGTCCCAGGCTCTCATTAGCAGGTATTAACTTTGTTTTGGTCTGTTTTAATCCTCCGCACCCTGCTGTGTCCCCACCCTCCTCCACCTTGCAGACCTCTGTGTGTTTGCATGGGTGACATTCTTAAGCCCAACTGACCGCAGATATTTGTGACCCTTCTCTTTTTTTTCCAGGCTATTTATGACTAAGCCTTTGAAAATAACTTACTCAAGTTGAACTACAGTACTTGGCATCAGCTTAAAGAAAGGTATTAAAGTGGACTGATTTAATGTAGCTGAATAGGAGGTTATTCAGGCCTTTAAATCAGGGGAGTGAGCCAGTTACTTCTCACTGACCTTTTATTTCTTTTTGTTTAAAGCAACAAATCATTCTCCCAAAGTGTGTAACTCTCCTGATTCCACCAATCAGAGCATCGTTTACTGGGTCAAACAGCAGAAGCTTTACTGAACAGGTTAAAGTCTTGACAGTTTTATATGTGAAGATCTCAGTTGCAGTCTGTAAATTTGTGAAGTGAGCAAGAGGCGCTCCAGCAACAACTTCGAAACATGATAACTTTCCTTTTCAGTTTCGCTAACTGTACCTTTTTCCACCAAAAAGTACAGATTGAATGTGTTTGGCTGAAACAGGGTGACATTCAAGATGAGGTCACTGATGAGGTGTTTTCCTCAATCGTTCATTCCCATGCTCACTGGCACAAACACCTTAGGAACACAATAACGTCCATGTTACATTATAAGTGATTAGTTGTGTTTTATTGTTCCCACAGGGTGTAGTTATTTTCCACTTTGAATGTGCCCGTGTGTTACGAGGTGTAACTGTATGCCAGAGAGAGAGAGGTGGCAACTGGCTCCAGTTTCCTTTTGTCTCTGGACTCTTTGAAATACATCCACACGACTTTGAGAAAATGCTCATCAAAAGTAGCAGGGTATTAAAAGGATTACTGCCTGAAACTTGTTAAGAGCTGGAGGTCATTCATTGGCAGAGCCTGGTAACAAAAGATGCAGGCTAGCGGCAGAAGAGGCCGAGGCATGGTGACATGAAACAAACCAGGACCCTGACCCATTTCCATTAGACCAGAAGTGGTGTCAACTTCAGAGGCGAATGTACCTCACAGCTACACACCTCCCAGTAAACAGGTTTTAGCAGGAACTTCGTATGGCAGCACAAATGTCTCAAGGAGACTTTCTCTGGCCTCGTTTCCTGCACTTATACGGTCTCAACCTCAACATTTCTGCTTCCACTCCCTTTTTTCTGCATGGGTGATGAGGATTAGCAATTGCAAAAACTTTCTTCTTGTGTTACTTCATCCCTTCTTTTGCTGCAGAGCTACTTTCCAAAATGCTTTGGAGTAAATCACTGATGCAAGACAAAAAGGTCCTGCTTGAAGTTGAGCATGCAGAGTGGTGGAGGAAGTATTTTACTTGAGTAGAATTACCAACACAACCATCTAAAACTGCTCTATTGTAATATATTTCACTGTTGGATCATTACTAATGCATCCGAGTAGAGCTACTTTTAACTGCAGTTAGTCCCACGGTTCCCATCCTAAGGGTCGCTGCCCCTCCAAAGGGTCACAAGATAAATCTTGAAGGTCAAGAGATGATTAATGGAGTAGAAAAGAAGAAACAAAACTAAAAGTGTGTTTCCATGCTGGTAGCTCTGTCAAACTGTGCTTAGGCACAGTTGTGCTTTGAGCTGAATGCTAATGTCAGCACGCTTACACGACCACATGCTGATGTTGAGCAGGTACGAAATTTACCATGTTAACCGGTTTTGTTTAGCACATTAAATACACACAAAATGCTTTTACAAAGTAGACTGTTGGCCTGTTGATGGTTCTGGATGAACATTCAGGAGATCATTAAAGTTACCTTTCATCCTTAGAGACACCTCACAAGCATGTCTAAAAACTAACTTTGTGCCAGACAAATATTTTCTTTGTTTTTTTGTGGAATATTGGATGATTGTATCACTTGATTTAAATCTAAGTTAAGCCATTTGGGAGGTTCGGGGAGGAAATGTCTTTTCGGTGGAACTGCCAGCAGCTCATAAACATGAAGAGTGACGAAGCAGACTCACAGTAGGTTTTTCTGAAAGGGATCACAAGACAAAAATGTTGTGAATCCCTGGTTTAATGATTAGCAATGTGTTGTACTTTATGAGCACAGGGAAATATGTTTTATTTAAAATCTTAACTAATATTCCTCTCTGAAATGTTGGGGAGTGCAGACACTTGATTAAAGTGCGGTATTTGAGTAAATGCATTTACTTCTCAAATCTAGTATAATGACACAGAGTCCAGTCTGAAAAACCTTCTCACACTCACCATGTTTCAACAGAAGGACTTCGTTTCTTGATTTCTTGTGCTGTGAGTGAATCTTAGGCACAGAAGCCACATTTTGTGCACATGGCCGTTGAAGCCGTCCTATTGTTCCCTGTCACTTGTCCACACCTGTTGCTGCAGTTGAGCCGAAGCAGCCATGCAGCAGCAGCAGCAGCCGCCTCTCCTAAGCCCTTGTTTTGGGCAGAGTCTTTGTGGCTGGCTGGCTGGACTCCCCCTGTCTCCTTGGGCTATCCCAGGGGCATTCTCCTGTTCCTTAATACCATATGTTCCTTCATGTTGAGCACATTAATAATTTCCTGCCTGTTTTTCTCTGACATTGCAGTGTGTATCTTTCTAAGATGATGAATAGGCTGGTTGAGAAATGTATAAAATGCACAAAGTGAACTGGGCCATGCCTGAAAAAACACTTCCTCTTTTCTTAGTGAGTAAAAAGCTGCTTTTCTTTAAGTTTTTTTGGCTGGAGGCCACTGGATGAAATGTATATACCTCTTCCTGCAGTGATAAGGCATGATAGTATTAGCAAATGACAGATTATAGCTGGAGGACCAAAGGGGGCATAATATCCTCCAGGGAAACATGAAAAAAGTCTGGCTCTCATGTCCAATATTTGATCCATTATCTACTGGTTGACTTTTATTCAAGATGTGATGCAGCTTCAAGAGAATATAGATGAATTCATGGGAATGTAAGTAATGATGAATGAGGGGCTGGAAAAGTCAGAGGTCTGCGCTGTCATTTAATCCTCTATATAAGTTGGAAAATGTGGGTTATTTTTTGCCTCAGGTTTAACGATGCCTTTCTTAAATGTATGTATGTATCTCGTTTGAGAGTGTGCGAATTCCTTAAGGCCCACAGACACTGGAGAGGCTGCAGTGGGGAGGAATTACAGTAGAAGCTTGACGACTGGACAGAGACTCCACCAGCCTGGTAGGAAATGATACATAACGCGATTTGTGATTTTTTATGAACAGAGCTGTCAGCACCCTTGGCGAGCCACTGTCCAAGATCCGGTCAAGTCCAAACTTGATCCCCGTGGGGACAGCGTGATCTGAGCCCGGCCCCTCTTGCACTGTTACAGAACAAACACGGCTATTTATAAAGTGCAGCAGCACGGCACAGTTTGCCATTTGTGCGCGCAGTTAACTGGTTTTTTGGAGGAGTCTGCTGTCTCCTGTGCAGCTGTCGTTGCCAACCGGGAACAGGCAGCAGATGAATCCCCTGACAGGGAGACACTGTGAGTCTGCTGAGGTTTATGGGAGGAAACCAAAGCTTGTAATAGGTCCGCATTTACAATATCAAATTTAAGACATCCTGTGCATGCGAATTGGGCACTATTAAATGTGTAAATCTGGCTTGTACAATATTTTTAGATTTAGAATCAATATAAAAAGATTTAACTGAGACTACACTCACTCCAGTGGAGCAACAGGTCAGTAATAGTGCATTGTCTTTCTACATCTCAGTCTTCTCTGGCATTGATCACTCTTTAATCTACAGTATTTAAGAGGAGATTAAAGGCTTTTTGTTGAGACAGTTTCTATTCTTTTGAAAGTCCTCCCATGATTAAATCACTTCTTCAGTCTTACCTTTACACATTTCTTTGTCCCTTTTCACTACCCTCCGCACTCTTTTGCAGCTCATCTTTGAACTTTAATTTCTTTTTATTGCTACACTTGCAGTAAAAGGTGGCTATTGTTAATATTATCAACAATAACTGTGTCAGTAGTGGAATTTATGGACGTATATACCTGCACCGGAGTCCTTGTTCTCCTTGCTCTCTGTCCCGGGCTCCTGTGCCTGCCGGTCGTTATCACAGCTGCCCTGATCCAGCCGTGCGTCCGTGCTGGAGCAGCAGTAGCGCAGCTCGCATTTCCCGCAACAGATGATCGCGTCCTCTCCGTCAATCTTCTCCGGGCACTGGAACCCTTCTTTCCAGACGCCCTGGGCGTCGTGCCAGCCATGGCAGTACTCCCCGCTGGCTTTCACGTCAATTATAACAAGGAGCAGAGTCACAATCACGGTGACAGACATCGGGAAACCTCCTCCCCACATTCTCGGCCAGGTGGCCCGCAGCCGCACGCTGGCGCGCAGGGAAACACAGAGAGGTTTTAGTCCCCGCGTTGAACCTGGAGAGGGGGGTGATACGCTGGGTCTGTACGATAAAGGGAGCTGAGGGGATGAAGTGAGGGAGCCACAAACCACTTAGAGGCGGTCATTTGTTAGAGGAATCCCGTGCGTAATTCAGATCCAACTTCTCCAAAAGTGCTCCGTAGCGCAGGCGATTATCCAGGAGTTGCACAAAAAACCGAGTAGATGGTGCGGAAAGTAAAATTGTCACAGAAATGATGGACCTCAGCCTAACTGATACTCCAGTTGTAAACCGTCAGAGCTCTGGTAAATCCAGTTTGGAGCGACTAATGGATTTCCTCTGGCACGGCAGCGGGTCTGTCTCCTCCTAGCTTTTCAAATGACTTTCCGCAGGGATGCAGGGAAACCAACACTTGTAGCCTGATCCATGGGCGCACAGCTGCTATCACTCCTGAGTCCTCTCACCGCAGGCCCCGTGCGTAAAGATAACGTTTCGAACTTTTGTGGCGTGGTCTGCATTGTTGAGTGTCAGAAGTCAGTCAGCCAAGTCTGTGTCAGTCCGGCCAGATTGAACTGCAGCGCGCAGGGTCTATCCCACTTTGTGTCAGAGGGAGAGGGGCGTGTAAAAAGTCAGATGCAAATGCACACCTCACTGTAACACGGTGATAAACTGTCGAAATGACCAGAGTCCTGTTCAAGCCTTCAGAGTAAATCATACAATGTGAAATAAAATGCTGCAATTTTGGTGAAACCCCTTTCCAAGAAAATGATGTGAAAAAAGATACTTCAACAGTACAAATAAATATGTTTCCCCTCTGACCATCTGCTCCGACACTGTCCCCCAGACTGGACTCAAACTTTCAACTTTTAGCCAAGGAAATTTACATCTCCATCACGCCTTCTACAGATCTGAAGATATGCGGAGAGATTTCGGAGACATTTTTGGTTAAATTAATTCTAGCTAATTTACATGTCACCTCTGCTGAGCTGCTGTTATTTTAAAGGTGACACACTTTGCTTCCAGTGAAATGGTGCCGTCTTGACGCAGCCGCTGACATCATTCCAAATCAGGGATTTGCCTGGAGCAGTTGCCCCAGAGTTCAGTTACAGTTTGAGCTTTGTGCTGAATAAACCTCCCTGTCAGTTCTGTCCTGGTGAAGAGCAGCTCAGACTTTTGGCAGTTTGGCACTTTGCCTGCAGGGACCTCTCCTCTGCGCACTGGAACACAGATTTGAGTGGTGACATTGCCATCTAGTGGTGCTGCCAGATGTCTCCTCAACTGCAAACATCTGGCAGCACCACCATGAAGCAGAAAATCAAGTTTTATTAGGGCTTGGTGGGTATTAGAGAGCGAAATAATATGCAGGATTCCCATGTCATCATGATTATACGCACAAACAGTCAAGAGGATATATAGAAAGGACATATGTCTGTCGTTTGACATTATGACAAGGCTACAGTGCAAAGTAGTCATGGTTTGACTTGACATTCAACTCTAACCCTAAACCACAAGCCTCATTTTAACCTTCTTTAGGAGTTTTTGTCAACAAGTAATACCACCAGAGCTATTGAAACAAGTAAAAATGGTAACTGTATCCTAATAGGTTCAATTCAATGAGGTCATATCTATTAGGAACTGAGGCCACATGACTTGTCCCAAATTACAGTGTGTTAAATGATTGTAAAAGTCATTAAACACAAATATGGCCTCTAGCAGCTGTGGTTTTTATGTTGTTTTGTTCATTATATTTATCAGAATATGCACCAAAATCTAAATAATAGGGTATAATATACTTTTCTACATTTTTATATCACACTGTACACAATTTGAAATGTATTTTGTATGACTCAAAGCAGATAAAATAAATGTCTACAAATGTGGTGACAGAAAGCACAACTCAAACACTATTACTGCAATTTCAAACAAAGGCCTCCTCTTCCATCGCTGAGCCTGTAGCAGCACTTCATTTCCCACCATGCTTTGCCGTGAAGCTGTATCCGTAGCAACAGCACAGGAAGTGGCGCGCAACTGTTGAAAAACTGTGACACAACACAACAAACTGAATTGGAGATTTTGATGCTGTTACTCGTCGTTAGGCTGAAAGTAGCAGCTTTAAAAGCAGTTTAAAGGACTCTTCTTGTTTCTAAACCTGGCTCCGAGTCGTCAAATGTAAGTGCTGGTTGTGTTTCTGAGTAGCACTGTAAGCTAACGGTGCTCAAAACTTGAAAAGTGAGTGAGAGTCAACAGCTAGCTTAGTTTGTCACACACTGCCTGGAGACACCTGTTGAGTAATAAAGCAACACTGTGCTTTTGTGGGAACTCATGTTTTCATACCGTGTGTGTTCAGATGTCGTTTGTGAGAGTGGGGCGTCCACAGCAGCACAGCAAAGGAAAAAGGCCTGTTCGCCCAAAGAAAGCAACAACAGCTCCCAAAAGAGAGTGGGTGGTGAGTACTGACAGATGCTTCACATGATAAAAAGAAACTACAACTGGAGTGAACGACTCATTTACACATTTAAAAATATGCATGTTTATTTTGTACTTGCACTTCTTCTCTCCACTTCAGTAGACTGCTTGATCAAGTAGTAATTAAGCTCCACAATTTGGAGGATAGTCTGCTTATTTACAAAGAAAAGATTATTATATGTGCTGAGAGCTTCACTCATGTGGAGAGTAGTCAGCAATTTTTACTGTTTAGGGGTTGTCACGTATTTCTTATTGAACTCCACTTAACAAAAATATAAACTCAAGTTAAATTTAGCCACAAAAACTTTTTGAGCCGTTGACAAGGTTTCAACCACTGAGTTACTCCACACCCTGCTGCTGTGGCTTTAAAGAGCATTGATCTGTACAAAGATATTACTTTGGCAATTGGCTTCAAAAGGCCACCTTAAAATGGAGCTTTATTCACGATGCCAGAAAAAGACAGGAACAGGCTGTTGGCTTGCTGGATGCTGGCATGTTAGTTAGGGTCATAGCCTGGCCTTGAATGTCCACAACTCCTCCATTTGGCATCTTAGAAATAGTTTTAGACAGCCAAAGACAATCTGCCACGTAAGGCTCTGGGTGGATATGCATTTAAACTGTTTAAACTATTGCTGACGTCATCACTTCTGCTTTTTATCGGCTTACTTTCCACTTTCCATTTTTTGATGTTTATTTTGTGATTGTTTTGTTGTGTGTTTATTTGTGGATGTGTGCTGCTGCCTTTCTTGGCCAGGTCACCCTTGTGAAAGAGTTTTCGATCTCAATGAGTCTTTTATCTGGTTAAATAACGTTTAAATAAATACATAAATAAAAATGTTCCCCAAAATATCTGCCAATTTTGCCAAATGCTTCAGGGAGAGTGTGACAGCATCCAACAAGCCACATCGACAACCTCATTAACTGTGTCGCAGATGTTTGACTTGTTACTTCCGGTCTATGACTGCACACTCCATCTGTTTATTATCATTTTTTAGCATAGTATGGACTTGGTTGTTTCATAAAATCCATTCTGTTGCAAAGATGCCAGGTATTGGGACAACAAATGCTTTTCCCGCTATGTTGAAAAGATCAGATAGAATTCGATAAAATCTTACATGCTGCAACATTTTACTCCACACCTATCTGTGATAAGATAGTCAGACTTTAAAGGGCACATACTTGCCTTTTAGGAGTTTTTGTGAAAACACCGTCCGTTACAATCTAACCACCAAATATTTGGTTACAGAGCACTGTCAATGACCTGTCGGTACACAAGCTGACACCTGCAGAGCTGGTAAGCTGTTTGATCATGTGTTTGTTGTATTGATACTGTCAGTTTGTGTGTTTACTCTTAGTTTGTGTAACTGAGAATCAGGGCCGGGGCAGCTCTGTAGCACCATGCTTCATTCATAATATCTTTTACACATTTGACCTATATTAAAAAAAAAACCAAACTGCTGCTCCTGCGGTTTGGTTATCGAACTTAACTTTATTGCAATTTCAACAATATTTTGATTAATTGTTCAGCATTCAAATATATCTGTATAAAATGAAAATGGATGTTAGTGCTAGCCCACATAGGATTGCCTTATGGTTGTCTTCTGCTTCAGAGTCATCGGCATGAGATTCACAAGTCTCACAACAAGGCTGTGGCTCAGTGGGAGCTCAAAGAAAAAGCCTTAAAACGCCGTTTCAGACATGCAGGGAGCCCTGCACCTCTGGACCAGGCCAGCCTCAGCATCATCAGGGAGGTGTGTGTGATGATTCATCTGTATGTTATCTTGTATTCTGTGCTGATTGGATGTCAAATATCAAGGTCTTTAGTTAAGTGCAGCGATCTTGCCTGGTGGTGTGTTGCTGCAGGTTTTCTCTGATCAGCTGCTGCTGCAGGATGTACTGGCCAGGTCTGACAGAGCCATGGCTGTAGTGAAGGACCTGTTTGGAGATGCTCCACGCAGACAGACTGGTAGCTAACAACTTGTTCTGTTATACTCAGAGTGATTAAATGGAGTGCACTGTGGTACCATGTTTGTAAAATATCACTGACACACATGTTTGAAAAAAGATACTTTGGAAGATTAGGTGTCTATGCTGGTATTTGTGTTTGTAGAGCCATAAATGCTCTCCTGTGGTTGCATAAGGTGTGCTACATGTTGATTTCCACAGGGCATCCCAGTGTGACCATAGCTCCAAACTGTGACTCAGATTCTGAACTGCCTGTTCACCAGAGACCAGATCCTCCAACTCATCTGTCCCTCCTCAGCCAGTCTATGATGGATCAAGAGGTGTGTTAGTGAGATTGTCATGTACTGTTGTTACCAGCTTGTATTCATGATTTTTGGATAACGTGTTTGTAAAAATGGTTCATTTCAGGCTCTTAATGAGTTAGAAGCTTCGGAGGAAGGCCACAAAGACATAAATGCCCATCCTTCTTGCAGTTCAGAGTATAATGTCATCCGAAGGTAATAATCCCTGTTAAAGACACAAACCAGTACACAGTTGCTGCTTCACTTCTATGTCACTCATAATGTTTTTCTCTGCAGGACCAATGTAAGAAAAATGAAGACTCAGACGAGGAGTAGGGTGATGCAGCAACAGAAAGTCCATCATTCTACCTTTCATCAGGAAGACGAAGATAATGTTCCCGTGACGCCCTTCACATCAGGCAGAGCACCAGACCAAGCAGGTAGGATAAAGAGATAACCTAATAGAGGAAAACCTTCTGCTGCCTATCAGGTGTCAGAGGTCTACATACGAACTCATCCAATCTTGTTACAGCTCTCAATGCCACAGTGGCTGTTCAGCGTGTTCGATCAAAACAGAGTCAGTCAGAGGAAGACAAAGAGGAAACTTCAGTCCTGGTTTCGCAAGTCTTAAATCCTGAACTGCCTCTCAGCCAATCAGGTAGTGTTTGTTTGGAAGGGACAGATTTTCTCCAAAATGAAATACTTGATTTGAAAATGACACCACACCACACAATGTGTTTTGGTTTTTCCCAGGAAGGATCAGAAATCCCACCAGCAGAACCAGGAAGTGTGTTTCTCATAGTTCACAGCTGGATGGCTCCTCTGTTGCCTCTCTCAGTGGGGACCAGTCCAGTCTGGGACTGCTGCAGTCCATGCTGGGTCAGGTGGAGGCAGACCTGGATGCTCTGAGTCCTGACACAGTAGCAGCATCAGCACAGAGTCCAAAACAGCAGAGAACACAAGGCCTCACTGGATTCTCTGTCGCCTTGGTCTCCACACTCGGACGTGTAGTGCACCTCCTCAAACAGGTTCTGTAGGAAATCTAAACAGACTTTACTAAACAGCCTTATAGAGGTTGTATTCAGATTGAACATCCACCATGAATAGACAAGACAATGCTTGTAAAAAGTAGGTCTTCAAAAAAGTGATGTTATTGGAGTTTTCCCAGCTATTTGGTGTTGAAGATGGTTATACCAGTTTTGTACATTTTACGTCCCGTTTATATCCGATCATGTGTGGCATACATTCATTAGGTTTTTAAATTTCTAAACTTTTGAAATTATAATTTTTGAATGATTTTGTTCTTTCAAGCAACCATTAGGTCACATTGTTTTTTTCTCACAGTCATGTTCATTTTTCAAATGTGATGTTCAAAAAAATGTCTTAACTTTGTAGCTGACTTGTACTTGATGTTCAGCATTGTGCTCAGTCTGTATGAGTTAATGTAGTCTCTGCTCACATTGTGTTAGAGGGAAGACGAAGCTCAGAAAGAGGCTGAGGAGAGGAGAAGACTGGAGGAAGAGGTGAAAGAGCAGCGGGGCCTCATTGATGCTCTCACTGCTGAAACCATGACTCTGAGAGAAGAAGCTGCAGCCCTGCAGGTGAAACAGAGCTTAGCTTTTTGTCTAGATTCTTACTGTGTTAATACACGTACCCGCTAATCTGTTACTTCTGGTACTTCTCAGGCAGGGTTGCAGCAGCGGACAGCAGAACTGGAGCAGAAGTTGGACTCAGTGGTATTGGTGATGGGAGGTCTTGGACTCCTGGGGGAACACATCAGCCCACACCAAGACTCTGATGTCCACGCTGCAGGTTTGTACAGTCTTTGTGCGTCTGTCTACATTGATATTATCTGCACATATGTGGTTAATTTGTGAATAATTGGTTTACTTTTTTATGAATTATTGATGTGTAGTATCTCAACCTGCCCCCATTGCTGAACAAGTTCCTGAGAAAACACGAGTTTCTGTTTCTCCTGCTGTCCTGCTCTCCCCGCCTCGTCAGAGCAACAACTGGCATCAGAGTTCTGGTAACAGTCTTGTTCTTTTCAGCTATTATTATTTCCCTTGATGTGATCCTCTCTCAGTCAGGTACATGAGGCTCAAGTTTGTGTTTCCCTCTCTTCCACAGTGACTCATCCTGTGCCACTGCAGCGTAATCCTGTAGAAACCCTGCGTTCCTTTGAGGACTTCCAGGCTCATGGATCAGCCTCTAGTCTCAACAGTCTACTGCTCACCAGACTTACCTCCACCTCCTCACTATCACAGATCTCTGACCCTCTCCGCTCACACCTCTCTCCAAGTGCAATGCTGGCTGAGATAGCTCAGCTGAACAGACAGAACGACCTGATCAAGGTTCAGCTCAGCCAGGCTAAAGGCCTTGAGTTAAAGTTCGGGGTATCGCTGGACAATAGCAGCGAACGTAGCAGGTCGAGCTCCAGTAGCACAGGCAGAGTCACTCCTCAGAGTGTTGAAGGGAGAAGGACATCTGGGTCCAGCAGCTCAGGCAGACGGAGCCAGAAAATCCAGACTCCTGAGAAAGAACAGCTGACTCAACAGGTGAGATTTAAAGTGGATTTATGGCCTCTGAGCTGCATGTCTGATGGTGGCATAGCTGTGAAAAAGCCCCTTGTAGATAGTGACTGTCTGTGTCTCTCATTATATGTAACTTTCTGAAACTGATGATCCAACATTAACACCCACCTCACTGCTCGATTACCAGCTATGTGGAGGTAAGAGAGGAACAAGGCATCGTTTTCATCTCAGTGTGTCTGTTTGGATCAACTATAAACACATTTGAGTCTCAACATCCTCAAAATGAATTCTGAGAGACCATAACACTCACTATACGCCTCTCAAGGTGACCTTCCCACACGAGCTCAGAGAGCATAGTCATACGTCATATTTTGAGTATATTTACATTTTTCAGGCTTTGTAAATAAAATTTGATGTAAAAAATCCTACATTTCTAAGGCTTTAAAGGATTAAGTTCCTATTTCTGAAAGCCTAAAACAAGTATTTCATTCAATTCTAGCTATAAAATTCTAAAGAAATTTAAATCTGACTCAGCTGTGGAGCAAAATATACATATTCTGTATCTACTTTAACTAAACCAAGTGTTTAGTGTTAGTTTACCCTCTCCCAAAGCAAAGCTGAGAACAACATACAAATGAGGCAGTACAATGTGCAGTGCCAAAAAACTGAAATCCCAAATAGTGATGACAACAAAACAACAGCAAACCATTTCTTGTCACGTCACTCAGATACCTGTAACTTTTTATGTTGCTGCAGCTTTCAGTTTTAACAGAGATGATCCACATTCACTGAGGGTTTACATCTCTGTTTTCTTGCTTAGGCAAAGCCATCCAACACCCTGATTACAAACCATGTGGAGCAGCGCCTCCTGGAGCTGAACAGGCAGAGCGCAGCCGCCAGGGGTCGACTGCTGGATCTCATTGAGCAGCAGAAACAAAATGTTTCAGCCAGAGTGTCTCCGTCTGTCTCCCCCATCCCTCCCTCTGCCTTCAGCCCAAATACAGCAGGTACAACGGGTAAAAGTAGCATGTAGCTGTTTGTCTGATCACACATGATGGTTAACATTGAGACGAATCACTTTCAGCTGAAGGAGGAAGCCGAGAGGTGTCAGTGCTGCTGCCTGAACGGGAGCTTTGGTCGAATAGTGGAGGCGACAGACGGTGAGTTCCATGACAAGAAATTGTGAGGTTCTTGATTTATTTTCTTATTTTTTTCGCTTGCTGTTGATAAAACCGTTTAAAATAATTAGTTTCTTTTTAAATATACACCTTAAGCAGCATAAGGCAAAACTACACTGATATTTTCACATCTAAATCACAGGATTGGACTGTCGTAGAAAAGAAAAAAACTTCCTCTTTTCGCCTCATAGATACAACATATCTGCCCAAAAGGAAGCTATGGAACCAGCTATTTGTTCCATGTCCATATCAAAGTGACGCATGTTTTTAGCAGTTAGATTTCTTATGTATTTTATTTAATATTTCAATGTGTTTGGAAGAAAGTTTGAATGGGACATTTGTGTACATATCACGTATTGTGTATGACTTCATGATGGTTTATTTCTGTGCTACAGATACGCTGGTTCTGATGTGTCTTCTCACAGTTCTAGAAAAGAAAGCAGCGATGGCAAAACACAGGTACACACACAAGTAAACTGCAGATTAAATGCATGCACTCAGATTTTACCAAATTGTCGTCACTTGAACATAAAAGAATCTTTCTTGCTCCACACTAGATGGACAAGCAGAGAGAACGAGAAGGTTGGTTTGCCTTGTCTGCACACGTGAGATGACAGGAGGAGGGACGACCAAACAAACCTGAGGAGATTCAGTTAAATGCTGCATTTTTAATATTTTATCCTAGTATTTTTAAACTACTGAATAAAAATGTTTACATTTTTATGAACTCTGGGTTTTTTTGTCCAGGTTTTTTTTGTGTGTGTGCTACACTCCTTCCATATATCTTTGATAGGGAGTATAGATTAGATGCAAGATTAGTCATATCTTTTTTTCATTAAAGTTAATCGAACTGTGGATTGGGATTTGCAGCTTTATCCACAACAGAACAATAAACATGTCAACTCGTTAAATTATAGGTTTCTTTCTTCATAGAAGATGCTGATATTATTAAAAACTTGTTTTTTCCCTGCATAGAGATAATTTCGGCAGCCCTCACAGGAAAATCACCAGCTCCAAATGATAAGGAGTGAAAAAAAAGAATATATATATATATATATGTACATACTTATTTTTTTAACCAGTTTTGCTCATTTTAGCTTCGTTTAGTTAAGCTTAGTAGACAGTTTTGTCCATCAAAGGGTTGGAAATAACAAGAAAATGGAATGAACAGACTCATTTGCTTCACCGTACATACACTGTGTGTTCTTATTGTGCCAACCCAAAGGCCCGTTCTGAGGCATGAAAATTTCTGTTAAAGTGCACTAATCCTAAGCTTATTTGCTGTCAGCAATACTTCTCTTAGTTGATTACTTTGTTTATCACCATGATAATCCATTCTGAGCTTATTTTTTCCGGTTTTGGTGCGGTCGATGAATGACTTTTAGTTCTGGAACAGCACGTTATGATCCAACAACATGCCTCTAGTGAACGTTAACTTCATGTCACCCTTCTTATTCTCCAACTGTGCAGTGGGAAAACCCCAGGAGTACTTGTGAGTAATATGTGAGTATCATATTCAGAGAGCCTGTTTTCATTCAGCCTAATTAAGGTCTAATAATTTTCCCAGCAGTCTGCAGGTCTTGCTTGACTGCTCCTCCTAAACTTTTAGTTTCATCAGATCCCACAATAATGTTCCAACTGTGCCTGGTCAAAGTTTTTGTCCATTTGTCTTTTTGTGTCTGTGGTTGTGGTTTGGTTTGGTTATTCCACAACTTTGAAATATGTTTGGCTGTTTCAGTGTATTTGTGCTTATTCACAATGGGATAGAAGTTGCGTGCCGACAAGCCATGAAGAAAAGAGGAGCCAGGGTGAGAGTGGAGGGGGAAAAACAAAATAAAATATTGTCTCTTGTGGTTATTTAAGGTACACACAGATACTATATCTGCGCATACGCACAAATATTTGATTTTCTTCTTTTCTCCCTGCTTTTTAATCTCCCATGTCTCAAATCTTTGTTTATCTTGAGTCTCTCTTTTAGGCTGTTTCTGCCAGAATAGTTTGGTTTAACTGTGATAAACTGCAGGGGTCGGGAGGAGCTTGAAATATATCTGTACATCAAGAGTTGAGACTCTCACATGTTTCCTTGTGCTTTTCATCTCTTCTCTCTGGTCTTTGTCCCCAGATGCAGTTTTCTTTATACATATGTGCATTATGTTACAGGATTTTTATCACATGTACTGCCTCGAAAATTGCTGCTGCCAAGACTTAACCTCAGGGGAGTTCTTACTAGCCGAATAGAGTAGTGAACTACCATCACCCAGATCACATTTGGTGGCTGGTTTAGTTAATGTCAAGCAGCCTGGTAACCATCAGGGCCTGCAAAAGTCTGAGTGCCCAAAATAACCAGAGAGAACAATCTGTAGCCATGACGACCAATTTCTGCACATGGTAGGGGTATACAATTATATTTGGCTTTTCCTCTTGTTTACCTGTATGTTTGTCTCTTTGTAAACTTCCCATTCATGTTTTTGCACAGTTATGTGGGTGCAAGAGAAAATAGTCCAAAGTCAGCAGAGGGCAGCATTGAGGTAGTGCCCTCAGTTAAACTACTACTCTTTTTAAAAATTTACTTTCGCATTTGTGAACATTTATCAATATCAAGTGGTGTAACAGAACAAAAGTTGCTCATTATCTGCACATCAGTTGACAATAAATCCACACAAAATCTGTGTCCACCAGCAGCATAAAGAAGTTGCTGATGAAGAGGAGAGCGAGGGCAGAAAGCAGCTAACAACGTGTTCATCTTCAGATTTAGGTAAAGAATGATTCAAGGACATAAATACACACAATGCAAGACATAAAAACCTGACTTTGTGTAGGATTCTTTCTGCATCAGTCTATCAGCTCAGCTAAGTTGTCATCATTTAACTGCTAAAACATTTATTGCATGCAACATTTTGAACTTAATACAGTGCAGGCCCACTTTATATGGACTTTGTTGAAGTATTAAATAAACTGCAATAATGGATGTTTTCCTCTGCAGACACTCTGAGTTGCCAGAGTTGGAAGAGCACAGGTGTTGCTAATAACATTTACAATGGCTCCGTTCTCCTCAAGTGTCCCAGTAAGTCATGACAGAAGGATGGTGATTTACTCTTGTGTTTGTCCTACTGTGACGTCCATGAATCGTATTCAGGAAAGTGTGTAAATTGTTTATGTCTTGGTTCAAGGTGCTGTAGTTTTTGGTTCGGTGTGGCCAACAAGAGTGTGAAGGAAGAGAAAACTGGGAAAACAGGCGAAGAACTACAGGTATGTTTCTTGCAAAACATCAGAGATACATAATGCAATAGTAGACTTTTATCAAGTGACATATTAATGTTGGTAATTACATCACCTTAATGTTGTGTGTTATTTAAATGTAAATTTCAGCATCAGTTCATTTAGGACAAAATTCAAGTTGAGAATACTTTTAATTGAAGAGTCTTCCTGAAACTCAGCTGTCAGTTAAACATAATTTTCTTAGAAGTTGTCAAATAGATATCAAAAAGGCTGGTGCAAACAATTTTTTGTTTTTTGAGCCCAAACATATACTTTTTTGTGCAAATAATAGAGTTGTGAACAATGCTAAAACAACAACAACAACAACAACTTGGTGTTCATCAGTGGGGCTCATCATGGCTTCCTGGGACTTTTACTGGAACTAAGTCATCATGGATTAATATCAATAACAACTCCTCTACTCTTTTTTTCATTTCTTTTCTTTTAAGGTTTATTGGGTTGACTAATTGGCACCAATGTTCTTCCTGGAAGAAAGTGGAGATGACACACAGTATACTTTGTGTGTTGTTTATGAATTAGTCTGACAAACAAGTTTATTTTTTTAATCATTTGTTTAATCATATTTTCCTTATATTAAATGATAAAAATCTTCTTTTATCAGTTGCAATATTAGTAAATCAAGTTATTTAGCCATAATTTCTATGATTTATGCAGCATATATTGCATTTTTATTCAGTTTTTTTTTGTCAAGTACATAATAAAAAAACAAACAAACAAAAAAAAACATGTACATTTGTTCAGTGTTTTCTAAAGGTGAATTCTTTGCTTTGTTTATCACTTTCACATTTTGTCTTTCTTTCACTGTGACAGGACCTCCTCGACTTTATCCATTTACTCGCTGCTGCTCAGACTGAATGCTGCTTCTCCTTGCCTGAATCAAAAAGTCACAAATAAGTGGTGGTAAGCTGACTTATTCCCACTCCAGGTATTGTTTGCTGTCGGTTTTAAGGTTTTGAGGGTGGCCCTGGAGGAGGAAGGAGAGCACTTGAGTTTTCCAGTCAGTCAGGAGAGCTGTGTCAGCGACCGGCAACGGCCAGCAGGGAAATCAAAAGGAGTAAATATTGCAGATAATAACAGGATGGAGGCATAAAGGCGCCAGGGACAGCAGCCGTAAACGTGGGGTCACAGGTCACAGTGGAGACGCAGGGGGAGGCGGGCAGGGCTTATTGTGCCCGGCCCGGCTAAGTGAAGGACGGGGTGAATGGGGATTAACCCCACCCCAGTGCCCCTCAATACCCCCTCCTCCACCGCAGGGCTCGGGGAAGGTTCCCATGTGACCGTCACCTTTATGTGGGCCTCTCAACACACCTCCTTTTACTCCTCACACACATATATTCACACATGCATGCTGCAAGTTATAGTGGAGGGACGGAGCTCAATTGATATTAATTAGCGGAGTTTTCAGGTTTAGAAAAAACTGTGCACGGAGTAAGGTTAAACTCACAAACACGCACACAATGTTGAGGGGGTGCATCGGGGGCATGGGGGGGGAGATCGCTTTCCTCACTCATTTAAATCTGCCCCCACTTCACCTCAGTGAAGGAGGCTGAAGTCACTCAGAAAAACACACACACTAAAGCTTGTGCACACACTGTTGCCTTTGATAGTGTCCAAAGTGACGCAGGAGACACTGAGAAGTTTCTCTCTGTGAAGAGCTTAATATGAATCGTTTTCTAATTTTTTTTAAGCATTTGAAGCGTCGTTGCGTGAGCCACAGTGGGACGGATTTATTAATAAAATGTTAAAATATCCTTTTGTGAGTATAAATCATAATAATAGTGGTTCTGCGGGATTTTTAATATTTGTAAAAGTTCATCGAAATTGTGTTTTCATTTTATTCTTTAACTTTACTTTCCCTTAAATGTTTCAGTGTATTTATCGTGCCACCAGAGGGCAACATTAATGTGCTGCTGCAGCTCAAATGTGACTTCGGGAGTTTATGTTGAACTATTTTTCCAACTATTTTACTTCATATTTTTCAAGATTTTCAAACCAAAACACAACCTCTAGCAACACATGATGGCAAAAATATCAAAACCCCACAGCCTCCAGCACTAACAAGAGATGCTTTAAAAAGAAAGCAGCATGTGTACAGTAGTGCAGCATTACTAAGTTATGATGCACATTGTTAAGAGAATGAGAAACTAGAATTAAAATAAATTAGATTAAGTACAGCAGCAAGTGAGTTTGTTTTGATGCAGAGGCCGTTTGTTGTCATGTGTGGAAGCTGTTTTCTGAAGGATTTCTGGTGCTTTCTCGTCAAAATACCTTCAAAATGTGGCAGGTTTTTGCATGTGCGTGGTGCGACATGTGCGTGTTTGCGTGTGCGAGCGTACGCATGTGAGCGGGTGCCCATGTGCGGAGGAGTGTACTGCACAGCTGCGCGAGGTCCTGATCTGAAGCAGGCTATTGCTTGCTGTGAAAATATTATTGCAAGTGTTTATTATT